TAAATTTATATATAAAAAACCAAAGATGTCTATAAACATAGCTTATTTTCAGGGCCATTCCATTTTATATCCACACACCCCGGTTGAGGACTTTTTCTGGGGGGTAAAACGTGTCGACACATTTGATCTTTTGATCTTTTCTGGGGGGTGAGTTAAAGATAGATAAATTTCTGGGGGGTTTAATGTGTCGGCACCTTTGATCTTTTTTTCTAGGAGGTGTTGTGACATGGCCTCCTTGATAGGGGTGGAATGGCCCTCACTACTAGGAACAGGGATTGTTATAATACCTTTTCTACTTTGTGATGATGAATTTGGGACTTCAAAGACATTGACATTGACCAATTTTGGCCAAACTCTGCGTCTTAAGTCATTGGTTATAAGGCCATCTTGGGAGATGGCTAGGTTTCTAAGAGTTTGGACATCAACTGGATCCTCTTCCAATGCCTCGTTGATTTTCCTAATCTTGCTTCGTAATCTAGATTCTGACACTGAGGAAATGATGAAATATTAGTAAACAGACACTTATCAATAAGTCCTTTGTTCATGCAGAACTGGATGTTTTTATGGTGATCTGAGGATCAAACGTTTCTGATCCATTGATCTTCTATAGCTGATTTCAATCAATGGCATCAACAATCATTCAAGAACTGTCTCAAACAATCAATCAATCATCTTGTCAATCAAAGTCAACCTGCCATTCATTATAGCACGAGATATGATCTCTTTTATAGTGAATGAGTATTGACATTTCTGTAACTTTAACGGCATGAAAGTCGAAATGACATTTCACCGACACATTGAAAACAACACAAATACTAACTATAATACATCATTTGTGCCATAATTCCTTCTTCTCCTTGATGTTTCTTCTTGTTTCTGCCTGTAGCATTTCGTCTTTTATAAGCGAACTGACGGCTCGAGCCGCTATTCATGTACRGAGAAGCCATCTTTGGAAAATTGTCGTCAAGTTTCAGGAAATATTCTTCTTAAAATTAGCCTACTTTTTCTACATTTCGAAACCATATTTTCCCCACAGTTAGAATAATGCTTCATGTTTATGTAACTTAATCTGTGTCGGCGTAGGTTTCAGGGAAAATATTTTCCCAAGCGATAAATATACACCATCTTTCGCTGTAGAAATTATAAAAATATTGAGTTGGTTAACACCGCTTTTGTGTGTAACGTGGGCTCGTAAAGTGTGGTTGGGTCTTGGGGAAAAGGTTTTGTTCTTTTGTCACATTTTTTTCTTTTCTATAGAGAAGACTTGTATTATTTCGACAAGCGATGAGTTAAATTTGATATTTTGTAGTGCTTTCTTGGTACTGATATATTTTTATTAAAAATGCAGCGTTTTATTTACACAGGGAGCCCGTACTTTCATTTACAGAATGAGTGACAGGCTGTGACTGACATCTTCTTTAACTCAAAAAATGTGTTCTGACMACTAATTATTCGCTGTTGTCTCCAGTTTGAAAGAGGTGAAGGCCTTATGCGCCTTCTGGCGCGAAGAGTTATGATGATGTTGCCTCCAGTTCGTGCTTTCACTTTCAAAATTCTCATTTATTTCTCATTTATTTCATTTTTATTGCATCGTCATACTGAAGAATTGTGATTCTCAAATATAAATCTCGGTTTTGAATTTTCGTTAAAATTTCGTTTTCCTTAATTTTCGTGAGTAGCTCTTTGCTATTCAAGGTAGCAACTTAGTTATCTGTACGTCAGGTCAACGAGGGGTCACCGTATAAAATTTTATTTGCGCGATATCAATATTAGTCGATAAGCACATTAGTTATGTATCCAAGTAGATCAGTTCTGCCMAGAAAAACACCCCAAAGAAAGGATTAATGGTTATTCAGACTAAATTTGCTGGATTTTCTTAAAATAAAAAAAGTCCTTCACTGACTTTGGGAAACTTAGTTTATCTGTAGTTTGCGCAAAACTCTTTTCGGATCTTTTGCATRGAACATCAAAGTGAATATGGTATTTTACATGTATATGATACAGTCAACTCTCTCGTAARYGACCACCTMGGGATCAGGAAAAAGTGGTCGYTTACRAGAGATGGTCGCTKWCGAGAAAGTTTTTTTTACAGAGTTTATATGGGAAACTGAACAAAAMGGGAAATTTAAAAGGTGCTCGCTTRYRGGAGATGGTCGCTTACTAGAGTGGTTATTTATGTGAAATATACTGGAAACGAGATTATATGAAAATGATTTTAATAGTGCCTATCAATCTTTCAGTACAATCACATTTATGCCAGAGSTAATCATTCGGTMAGAAAAGACGTCACGGGAGCTTGTATATTACGGACACCTCTATATCTCGGACACCATCATAATACGGACAGTTTTCTTTATACATTTGGGAAATAATAAAGACGAATTACGAGAGATTACGATTTGGCTGTCCAGACTTCATTATGAAAACTGTTTTATTGGAGCTTGTTTTCGTACAAGAGTACCGATAGAATGTTCTTGATAATGGCGTCTGTAACGCCGAAAAGTCGTTTTAATCTGATCTCGCTGTTTTTTATTATTATTATTTCCTGTATTACTAAATCTTCTCTAATCAGGGGTCTATATATACCACAGACACTTCTATGTCACCGACGAAACACATTGACGAAACTGACTTCTTAATAAATTCGATATCAAGGGCACCTCTATATTCCGAGCACCCCTATTTTTCGGACACCTCTATATCACGGAAACTTACTTCTTTATCAATTTGAAATCACGAACGCCTTTATGTCACGAACAACTCTATATTCCGAGCACCCTTATTTCAAGGACACCTCTATATYATGGACACTGACTCCCTCTTTATTCCGAGCACTCCTATTTCACAGACACCTATATCACGGACACTGACTTCTAGAATTGGATATCACGAAAACCTCTATATTCCGAGCACTTCTATTTCACGGACACCTTTATATCACGGAAACTTTCTTGTTCRTGGATACTTTCCAGTGGGTCTTCTATGGCTTAAAATAGAAGGTCASCAATAAAGAGCTGTCTTTGAGCTTACGTTAAATGAAGTGTCCACCCTCTTCTTTGCGTCATATCAGCAGTTGCGTCTAGTTATTTTAGCGTTTTAAATTCACGTTTAAATACTCCTAGAAATCCCTCGCATTGAGGACAGCAGTGAATCACATCCTGGCATTGTTGAACACAAAACGGTATCAAACAGCATCCAATAATAAACAATATCCCAACTARTATAAACGTGATACGGCCCGGTCTGTATGTAATATGCGTTATAACAGCGTCTCTACAATGTGGGCATCTGGTCGAGACGGGGAACTCTCCAAAAGACGGCTTCAAATGAGCGTTCAAGTCTGTAYTGYKKGAAGAAGCCCGAGAAGGTTGGTATCCTGGAGGAAAAACCGGTTCGGCTTGTGGAACGTAATCTTTGACCATTGTGAAGTTTCCTGGTCTTGGATGGTTAGGTTCTAATATCGAAGAACTGTTTTGTGGAGGAATGTGTGGTGGTTTRCTGGCCATTTGAGGCTTTTCACGAAACGATTTGTCGTGAGTGGCCATGTTGTGAGATTGTCACGATATMGTAGGTCTTGMTTTGTCTAGGCATGCAATTTCCTCCACTTTTTATCGCGGTTTGTCTCAAAATCGTCTCATAATTGCACGTCTGCCAACGCCTGATGTTTGAATGGATTTATAGCTGCCTCTATTGGACTTAATACGATCATCTAATTGCGATTGTATTGTTTATTTACTTGACATCATCACGCAACAATCGAAGGTATATTGCGTTACACAACCTACAACATGGTGGATGTGTGACCGTAGTTAATATTAACTATGGTGTGACAAGGATTATCCTGAATAAATCCGATTTTTAATGGTTTTGTTTTCTAGAAGGCAATCACGCAAATATATATAGGATATTACATGAGCGCTCGCAGATACGGAATTTATCTTCGAGTATTCAATTGATATCAAACGTTGAGAGTAGCATTAAATATACCTTTATATAATGGTAACATGTTATTTTCACATGTGAAAGATATCACTTTTTCGCGCGAAAGATACACTGGTATTTCATAATAATTTATATAATAAAGTATGTTATGTGACATTAGGGCGACACGGGCTAGTATGACATCATGTATCAATGTAATATAGTAATATTYAAAATATTGCAAGAAACTAGGCCTCTTTAGATGGAAACCAGTATAGTGCTGTTGATATCGTTACACAACTATATTATAGTTTATCAACACCATCTCTACGAACCCCATCTCTGAGCGTCTTTATCCACCCCACCCCTGTCCGACATTATTAATGCTACTCATGTGCGTCATAATACTCCCCAATAATGTGCCTCTTTACGGACACCACCCCTGAGCGTCATTACGAACCCTACCCCTGWGMGTCATTAYSAACCCWRCYCCTGTGWGTCATTATCAACCCAGCTCCTGTGTGTCATTATCAACCCCACTCCCTGTGCGTCATTACCAACTCCACCCCTTACCGTAATCAACTTCATCCCTGTGCGTCATTACCAACCCCACCCCTTATCGTCATCAACTTCATCCCTGTGCGTCATTATCAACCCTACCCCTGTGCGTCATCAGCAATTAACCCCACCCCTGTTCGTCAATACTAGCCCCACTCCCTGTGTTTCTGTATGTTTAACAGGAATCTCTAGTAGTCCTCCCACATTTTCGTGSCTTTTAAAACAGTCCTCTTAAAGGTGTTTTCGCTTTTTTCTTTTTTGAAAAGACATAATTAGTTCTATCTTTTATACAAAGAAAACATAAACGCCTCAACTTCCATCGCGCTTTGGTGTACAAAATGGCGTCCCTGCATATTGCCTATTTGCCATGATAATTATAATGTAATAATAATCAACATGATGATGATGATTGTAATAATGCAGATTATATTTCATCAATGATAATCATCGTAATTGCGATAAAGATTTAAAAAAGTAGAATAAAGATGGCTTTGTTTTGAATTTCATGATATCTTTAAAGACCGWCTATTAGATGATGGACAATACGTCCATTTTACCCTCAAAAAAATAACTAAACATAAAAAAAACTTCAAAGATAAGGAGCGCAGTACGTGAAATTGAAACTTGAATCTTCCCCAAAAAATTGATATCTCCCCTAAAAGTTCAATATGCCCCTCATTACTCGAGTTCGCTTCGCTAATAATTGAATTTCGCTTGTCGTAAAAGCTAAGTCATTTAGCGTTCGTTAAAAGCATTTCCTGTACTGACATACTCTTTTAAATGCTTCCAACAATTTASTCAACTTTTATTCCTAATTGTATTCTGCAGTGAGTTTATTACCCTTTCGCTAGTATTAATGGTTGCACAACAATATTCACTCAGAATGCTTTTACGTTACAATTTCAAGTACAAAAGTAGTATTTTTGGACTTTTAGAGGATATTATGTTTCGTTTTTTCGTGTATTACCGGYACCCGGACACACTGCTAATCCCATTTTAAAAGAATGAGTCACAAGTAAAACAAAAAATTGATTRTAATTTTTTTGCAAACGAAATTAAAAACAAAATATGAACACTTATTTAAAAAACTGTAGTTTTTTTCGTTTTTCTTGTGATAATTTCCTTTTTTTCCAAGTAAATTTAAATCTACATTACATTGAACTATGGCGGAGTCTTGGTACAAATATAAATCAAGTGTTATGCAGGGAAGTAGGAGGGCATMAAGGAAAAAAGATTTAATTTCAGTTGTTTAGATTTAATCCTTTAAAGTTTTTCACAGTTATATCATTTATTTTAAACTTCATTGAAACAAAATCCAATTTTCTCTCTGTATGACCAAAATATACAGAAGTCCTCCTCGCAAGTTTTGTTCTGTGAATTCGAGATCAATGCTGCTTCCTCGAGAACACGTTTCATTCGCGCGCCATTTTATTCAGATCTCCATCTAACGCTTTTTTTTCAATTAAAAATTTTCATTAAGAATAACAAGTCCAAATCTTCCCACTCTAATCCATCAACTTGTATTCATTGTAGTTCAATATTACGAAACTTGTTTTTACAAGATTACCGACATTTGTGTGTCTTTGAACTAGTCGTTCTTAATCAGACGCGCGTCTCTACCCCAGATGGGCATATTCCACGAACAAAAAAACCTAACGCCAACTTGGACAGCTTGTTCAACATAAGAAGATTACTTTGCTTTCACAATGAAAACGAGCACTAGAATCGAGTCGATGTTTATTCTATTCTGTTGAATTTTTCAATTTCCTGGTACCAATACCCATAATTAGTATTTATGAGACTGAAAAGGTGCAAGATAAACCAAGAGAATGTTCTAAATGGGGATTTTGTTTTGAAAGGWTTTTGGTTAAAACACTCGATAAGGGTTGGTTTATGCAGAGGTAGATATTTCATTTAGATCGAAATCTCAGTGCGATGTATAATTAAAGTCATTTTGCTTCATCCTTAAGCAAAATTCCCCCTTTTAACACCAATTTGTCCATTTCCTTTTYWCTAAAATTCGTTTTAACTGGAGTAAATGTACTGAATTACTGACTAAATGGGAAAGTGTTAAGCGAACACCACTACATCGCTAGTAATTTAACTCTCTTGACGCCCATTCCACTTCAAATATTCGTAATTACGCCCAAGGCATGGTGACCCAATCAKCCCCAAAAAAGCCTTCTGCCAATCAACCAGCGTTTACGATCATCGGCCGTTCGTGTCAATTGGGTAATTTTTCTCACCCTGTTACTCTAATTTCTTTCTTGATTTTGATCCCAGTGTCGCAACTTGTAGGCTGGATTTCAATACAACTCTCGTATCCGTTCTAAATAATTGAAATGGATTTTTTTTCCGCTTAGCTGTATACGATATTGACATAGCCCAATGCACTTACATAGAAAGCCAACAGCTTTCGATTGGCCTAATTCTTTTTCCACTGATTACCGAGACTCGGGCTTAAATCTGCCAATCTACTTCAATCTTGGCCCATAAAGTTTCTGGTCTTAGCGATAGCATTCTGTTTGTTCACAGTTGAAATATACGTAAGAGCAGAAGAGGCTTAGGTTGTTCACAAGCAAAATATTTACCTCGATCGTTTTCGCTGAACGCGTGCTAGGGCTGGATCAGCGAGACATCGACAAGGCACTGTGGGAAAAGGTATCACATTTAAAAAATATTGTCTTGGTAGCTTT